TGTGTCAAATGAGTGTATTTGTAGTGATAGATGATCGAGGGACTGAATGGGAGACTGAGATTGACTCTTCGACATGTTTTAGAAGAATGATACAAAACAATGTATAAATATAAATATAAATACACATTTTTGTTTTTTTTCCTCTTTGCATATGTCTTTAGTTTAGCAATCCTCATGTGGTGTGTGTTTTTTCCCCCGTGCATGTCATTGTATGTGTGTAGCAATCTTTCCTGCATCGGGAAAGGGAAGGGAAGGGGGGGCTCTCTGTAAATGTACTAGGCAATATTAGATGAAGCATGTCATTGTCCTCTGCCTTGTTGTGTATACAGTCAAATGCTTTTTGTCAGTGCACCGTGTGATGTGGCAAACCTGCGAGCGGAGCCTCGGCGAAAGGGGTTTCCATTTGTTCTGGGCTGAGATTTATGTTACTCGTTTATATCGCTGACGGACTCCACCAGCACTAAGGCTACGTGGGCCACTCATGTCAGCCGCTGGTCACCGAAGGAGCTCGCAGTCTAACGTGCCTATTACAGTGACACTTGGGCACAAAGGATAGTTTTACATGGGCGGTTAAGGGCAACAATCTGTGTAGGATCAGATTAGAACGTTTGATCGTCTGTTGTTTGTACATAGACACACCTATTAATATCATTTATGGATTGCTGGGTGTAAATCAGAGATATCTGGGGGGGGAACTGAACCCAGGGGGCCCCAGTGCTGAATGCCCAGAGTCATCCTTGCTGAGGGCCCTAAGGTTTTCAATGGAGTTTGTCCAACCTGGCTATTGGAAGAGACACGTCACCATACAGTGCCCCTTAATCATCGGAAAACCCGCTTTTGGACTGAAGTCAGAGGATGTGTATCCTGGTCACTCGGAATTTTTCGGAAGGAAGCTGGCAATGTCATTCTCAGCTTCACAGACTAAAGTTAGACATGTAGTTTTACGTAGACCTGTAGCTGCCAGCTTAGCCTACTTTTTGTTGCCTGGTTCCCAGAGCAGACAGAAAGAAAGACAGAAGAGACCTCACCAGATTCCCATTAATCTTCCTTAACTGCAGGGGTAGGCAACCTTGGCACTCCAGCTGTGGTGAAACACCAAATCCCATCAGTTTCACCATGCCTCTTGGGACTTGTAGTTCCACAACAGCTGGAGTGCCAAGGTTGCCTATCCTTGCCCTACCACATAGAAAGAACCAATCTGCTTGGACAGCAAGAATAGTTTTCCCTTCCGTGACTTGGTAATGGGTTGTTTTCATATGAAGGTCCCTTTGAGAAACTGTGACTATGAGAAGTGAATCCTCTTCTCTCATCAGGTCCTTCAGGTGTCACCAGGTCCTCACATTGGGCTTTTGTTATCTCTCACTGCCATTGTATGGAGTGAAGGGCCTGAGCTGTCCACCTCGGCACTCAGTTGGACAGACTCCTCAATTCATCTCAGCGGTGAGCGCCAGAGGAACTGTACGAACATCTACTGGTTTTGGGACCTGTGCTAGGCCCTGAGATGCTGGTTGGTGCCCTCCTAGAGACCATGGTTTAATATAACAGTCTGCTGCTGACAGAAGTGGGTCGTTCTCTCTCCTTTGTCCATAGCATCTGGTTCCATGTTTCTCCCAATGCATTATGGGAGAATGAGGGGAAGAATATAAGTGGCAGCTATGAGGAACCCAGATTAAGATGGCTCTCTCAGAATGTCCTCCAATAGCAGGACGTGCTGTAGCTCCCTAGTGGGCCATGGTCTAGGTCAAGGCCGGCCAAACCCCTGCAACCAGGTCGCCAATGCTCCTTAAAAATTACAGCTGGCGCCCAACTTTTGAGGCTAAATCTAGTTGTTGTTATTGAAGCTGGCCACTAATGGCTATTGGCTCCAAGATTGGACAGACGGGCTCCTGATCCCTGGTCTAGGTATTCTCTAGTGGGTGTTACTTCCCCCATTTTGTGTCTTCATACCAGTACCATTCACAGCACCTTCCCACGAGTCACCTCTGCCACAAGGCAGAATATCTGCCTTATCTCTGACAGGACACCTTTTCAGGGTTTCATCACTCCAGGCCAGTCACACCACTCCCTGAATATATTTTTTATCTCAGACCTGTCTTTCTGTCCACAGGGCCTCATACATTATCCGCAGGATTCCTAAAGATATCAGACAATGGCTGGATATGTGAGAACCTTTCAAACGCTCACCAGTGTGCCGCCTGGGCCCACATGCAGGGGACAGTGTGTGAATGGGACCTGCCCAGATGTGGGCCCCATAATAGGTGTATTTAGCTAATTTACCACCACGTAGAGCTGTATCGCTATTCATAGTCAACACACCTCAGTCTGGCTCTGACCTGGCTAGCTGTTTGGACGTTTTGAGGCCAGGGGGTAGCCAGGAAACTAGCATTTTCGGAAAGTGGTCAGCAAAGGTAGCCTCCATATCTCTCTCTTGACAGGTCTTCGGTCTTCTCCAAAAAGTTGATTGAGATTTAAACTTTTTTTTTTTTTTTTTGTCTCCAGGCGGTTGGACCCCCGTCAGTTCTAGCACTTGAGTCTGCATAAGGGTGCTTCTATCAGAGCCTAATCACGCAGTTCTTTTGCTTTACGATAACATAGTGAGGGGCGAGTTTGGAAGCGCAGGACTTGGTGGTTTCAGGAAGCACATTTGATGGTAGTTCTGGCAGCTTGCGAAAGATCTTCAGACAAAATGGCTGATTTGCAGGGCAACGGCGCCCATTTAGACCAGGAGTCCACGCTGAGACTTGCAGTTCCTCACACACACAGGATGTGCACAGGGCCTGTAACTTTCATCCTTGTGGCTGTCAAGTGGCATTTCACGTCACTGGATAGCTTGCACAGTGCCGCTCGTGCCACTTGATAGACTGTGGCTGAGTGAGTTGCACTTTCTGCGGTCGGTTCTCAGTCTGGGCTTCCTGTTTGACGTATTTGCTTGTTTCTATCAGCATTTTAACCCTCCCAATACCCCCGTGATTATCTCTTTGATTGTTCAGTCCACAAAGGGACCCTATTAACAGACATGGACTCCCAGTTGGTGGTCAGTGACTTCTGACAAGGGCCAGGTTGCCTAAACACCACTTTCATCCTAAACATCTGCCACTCTGCGCCC